GTTTTAGACTTGGGTTTCCCGGTTATAAACTGGGTTTTTCCGTTTGGATTCCGCTTCTGATTTTCAACTTTGTGAACGGGTTCACATAAGTGTTTTAAAGAGTCTCCTGACCAATCAGAGCTCAGTCGAGGAACGGTATATAAGAAGTCGCTCGTGTTGTGCGAAACTTAGTTGACATCATGGCGTTGAAAAGGAAACACGGGAACGGTGTGTTGAACAAGCTCATCAACTTGCTCCCGATCGAGGCGCACATTCCGGGAGGGTACCGATACTGCGGGCCTGGAACGAAACTGGAGAAGCGTCTGGCTCGTGGAGATGCTCCGATCAACGGACTGGATGCTGCTTGCAAGGAACACGACATGTTTTATAGCAAGAACACTGACACAGCCGAAAGGAACAAAGCGGATCTGGAGTTGGCCGACAAAGCCTGGCAACGCGTCACAGCGGGAGATTCTTCACTCGGAGAACGTGCCGCTGCCTATGCCGTCACCAACGCCATGAAACTAAAAGCGAAAATGGGAATGGGAAGTCCCAAGAACAAGACCAAGAAGAAAAATTCACCGATCGTCGGTTCGTGCATTTCGAAGGATGCCAAAACACCTCCCAAGCGAAAGAAAGTCACTACCCGTGTGATCCCACTACCGAAAGAGGGGGATGCAGGTGTGAAAGTGGTGTTGAAGCAACTCGGCGTGAAGCCTGATTCTATCGATCCGACGTCCAAGAAAATAAAGTCTACCATCGCCAAAAAATCGAAGGAGGTTCGTGTCGGCAAAGGTCTCTATCTCGCGCCTTACCGTTCCGGATACGGACTCTACCTGAGACCCTGGGCTCCTGATTTAAACTAATCAACGAGCTACCACTGAAACCGTTGACCGATATCGAGTTGAAACGTGTGGCGAAGAAACTCAAAATCCCACATTTTCGGGGTGTTTTTATGCGCGATCAACTGAACAACATGAAACCCGAAGAAAACGAGTGTGCAATCATCAATTTGGATTCTAGTAAAGGATCTGGAACACATTGGGTCGCCTACAGCAAGAGAGGCTCTCGTACCCTCTACTACAATAGTTTTGGTGATGTTGCGCCACCATCGGAACTCACTCGATACCTCGGTGGTAGCTCGTTAATCGAGTACAATTTCAGCGCAGAACAGGCTTACGGAACCGTCATTTGCGGCCATCTTTGTCTCTCGTTTCTTATAAAAGCAGCGCGTCACTGGGATCCGACGTCACAATGAGTGAGACTATCCTGCTGAGTGGAAGGAGCAACGTGCTCGAAAATGTTTTCTCACCACCTCTGGTGCTGGATCCCGGCAAAACCCATTATGTTGGACTCGTCGAGTTTGTCGCTTACAACGCGATACCGAACGTGGACCATACGAATCAAAAGTTTCGTTACGGGGCTGACAAGGAAGAGATCGTCATACCTCGTGGAGCCTACGAAATCACAGCTATAGAAGAATACCTGAAAGAGAAATTGGGCGCCGACAATCTCACGCTGAAAGCCAACAACAATACTCTAAAGTGCTCCCTCAAATGTGCATACGAAGTGGATTTCAATAATGAAGCTTCGATAGGTCGATTGTTGGGATTCGAGAAGAAAGTTTACGAAGCAAATACGTGGCACGAGTCTGCATTGCCTATCGATATTTTCACCATCAACACGATCAGGGTCGAATGCAATATCGCGACAGGATGTTATATGAACGGATCCATCGCTCATACGATTTTCGCCTTTAGCCCCAATGTCCCACCCGGCTACAAGATGGCGCTGTCTCCGCGGACAATCATTTACAATCGTATAAATACCTCGACGATCGATCGATTGAGTATCAGTATTGTCGATCAAGACGATAAGCCGGTCGATTTCGGAGGAGAAGTGGTGACTGTTCGTCTGCATATCAAATCAGATGGGTAAGCGAAGAGGCTTAAATAGGTCGTGCGCTTTGCATCTCAAGCTCAGTCCGAGACAGACGCGCAAGCGCTTAACACCTTACTTCAGAAGTGCTCTCCAGCAACTCGGATACATTGTTATCGATTGATTGTCGCCATGGATCGTTTCAAGGACATCAAGTATTATCAGGATCATAAATATCACCCGTACATCTCCAGTTTCCGGAACACCGACGAGATCCGGATTCCGATCAATAGCCAGGATTTGTATACCGTGCCCGGTGATTCCAAAATCTACATTGAAGGAACTCTGACCTACACGCCAAAGAGGGCTGACGCGGCTGCTGACGATGGCAAGACTGTACTTTTATCCAACAACGCCTTCGCCTTCTTATTCGATCAAGTGCGTTACGAGTTGGACGGCAAGGAAGTGGATCGAGCCAAGAACGTGGGCATCTCCAGTACCGTCCGCACCCTGCTGACTTGCACCAAGGATGAAGTTGCGGGACTTGAAAACGCCGGTTGGGGCTCACCTGTTGTCAACGTGAGCGACAAGTCGTTCAGCGCTCTCATTCCGCTGAGTCTCTTCCTGGGCTTTGCTCACGATTACAAGGGCGCCATTTTCCGTCAGAAACAAGAACTCGTGCTCATCCGTGCTCGCACCGATAAGAACGCATATACGCTGAAGGAAGGTGCCGAATCTGATGCTGCATCCCTCAATCTCACCAAAGTTCAATGGCTCATGCCGCAAATCAAGTACAATTTGAGTGTGGAGAAAGCCATTCTGGACGAGATCAGACGTGACACTTCTTATCCGTTGTCGTTCCGCAGCTGGGAATTGCACGAGTACCCTCAATTGCCGACCAATCAAAGGGAGACTTGGAAGCTCATGACGACCAGCAATGTGGAGGCTCCGTCATTCATCGTTCTAGTATTCCAGACCAACAGATCCGACAACGAGAAGGTGGATGCCAGTAAATTCGACCATATTAAGCTGCGCTCTTTCAAAGTCCATTTGAACAACAATTCTATCCCGTACGAGAATCTGAACGAGGATTTTGACAACGACAAGTTTGCTTTCTTCTATCAGAACTACCTCAACTTTATAACGGACTTTTCACAAGAGGAAAAGCTGTGCGAACCTCCTCTCTCCAAGAAGAAGTTCAAAGAAGAGAATCCGATGTTCGTGATGCGATGCTTGTACGAAGATGTCCTGAAACCGGGCCCCCTGGATATTCAAATCGATTTGGAAGCACACGAAAATATCCCACAAGGAACATCCGCTTACGCTATTCTGGTTCACAACGTAACGTTCTCTTATCAATCACTTTCAGGAACTGTAAAGAAAATCCACTGACTTTTCGTGTCTTTAATATTTCCTCGAATTTTCAATTTTCTTTGAAATTTGTAGTACTTAGTTTGTAAGATTTTCAAGAAGCGTCTAGCTGTACGATTAGGATGTAAGATTCACGATATTTCATTCTAATGCATTTTATGTAACGCTTTCTTTTTAACGGTAATAAAATACCAATAAACCGAACCCTTTGTTTCTTACTTTATTTTCCTGTTATCAGCATGGGTCGGGGGGTGCGAACGATGGTGTAAAAGCATTAAATTATATCCGGGGGAGCGGCAACGTCGCAGAGATGAAGGAGTCACGAGGTGGCAACGTCGGGCAGGTTCGGAACTTGTTCCCGGTCGCTCGAAGGAAAAGAGACCCGAACAGGTTCAGACTTGTCCCGGCAGGCTCAGACTCGTTCGGACAGCGTTCGATCCGAGCGCGGCTCTGCGCCTTTGATGCAGGTTTAAACCGGTGGCGTGGCGTGAATGATCGATTGTCGATATCTCGCCATTTGAAGCTATGGTAAAGAATCGATTAGTAAGGTGTTCGCTGCGAGCACCCTGATAATCGATCTTTTTTCATAGGTTTAAATGACAGATCAATCGATAAATCGCAAAGCACGCCACGCCACTGGACTTTAAACTTGGTCGCACCCTGAACGGCGGCAACCCGCATGTTATCGCCTGGAGTATGTAAGGTATGCAACCCGCATTTCATGGGAGTCGTGAGGGCTGCATTTCACAAATTATCGCTGAGCACCGGCGAGGTGCGCGACCAACATAGGACGCCTCCCGTCCGTAAGGTATGCAACCCGCATTTCATAGGAGTCGTGAGGAATGCACATCACAAATTATCGCTGATCGTCGGCGAGGTGCGCGACCAACATAGGACGCCTCCCGTCCGTAAGGTATGCAACCCGCATATCTGCACCTTAAGTCGGCGAGACACGCAACCCGCAACTGAAATTGGGTCGTTCGACAACCACCCACTTCGGTTAGGTTAGGTTAGGTTAGGTTAGGTTAGGTCACACGGCAACGCTGTACTTGGGTTAGGTCACACGGCAACGCTGTACTTGGGTTAGGTCACACGGCAACACTGAACCTAGGTTAGGTTACATTTCGATATCTCAGGTGGCCGCAAGTCGCCATTTCCACTCTACTACCCATGATTTCACGTATCCTTTCATTTCGAACCTGACTCTCGCTTGACACTCCGGCTGATCTTCGCCAGTAGGTAGTCCATGTCGGTATTGCCTTAAGATTGTCCTGGGATCGTTTCTTCAACTGCTATACCTCGCTCGCCATGGGTTAATATGCTTATGATGATGGAGTTATACATCCATCGTCCAGCAAATCCGCAGTATCCCGCAGAATTTTATGTGTTGTAAAATACAGTGAAAATTATTTCAATCCCTTGTTAGAATCTAATACCAGAGTTATACTGCTGAGCTTTACTCGAGTTTCGTACTAATTACCCTCTAGATAGGATGCAGTGTTGAAGCTTCCCTCCCAAAATCACCAGTGGCGTGGCTTGCTTTGCGATATACAGATTGATCTGCCATTTAAACCTGTAGAAAAAGATCGATTAACAGGATGTGCGAACACCTTAATAATCTATTCTTTGCCATAGCTCAAAATGGGGAAATGTCGATTATCGATCATTCACACCTCGCCACTGAAGTTAAGTACAATATAAGTCATACAGGACCTCTCCAAGGAAATGAGCTATTTCCGGAATAACAATGAATATGGCACACGCTTTTGAAGTTTTCAGATCTCACGATACAACATGAGGAGGTGTCTGGATTTGATCGTCATCCTTCTCGTAGCTTCATCTCTGACGTCATTCATAACGGGGGCTCCATGGATGATCCCTGTTGTCAGCGGCTCGAACTATGAACATACAGCACACGCAGATGACACCTCACACGCAATGAATTACAAATATGATATGGGAAATGGGGATAAAAATGTTCACATAAATAACAATGTCAAGATAGAAATTCACAAGTATCAAACAGTGCCTGGTTCAGGAGGATATCCGCCTGGTTCGGGGGGATATCCGCCTAGCCCAGTTGGCTAAAGTACTTACATGAACCCAAAAACATTATGGATACTTGCATGTACAATAGATTACACTTGTGACCGTCTACGGGGTAAAATCCTCAAAAATTCAAAAATTGGTAATTAAATGCAACTCGTATGATGGGAGTGTTCTGCGATTCTGCGTGAATTTTTTGACAAATAATAGTCTGAAGTGCCAGAATTGAGGAAGATTATAAGTTGCATGCAACAGGGATGATCCAAAAGTCCCTTCCGTCCCCTCTAACTTTCTACCTAATTGAGGTAAAGATTTGAGGAACGTGGGGAATGTTCCTAGGTCAAAGGGAGCTACTTTTTGGCCCTCCAACTTTTTTTTCAAATTGGAAGACCCCTTTTGGGATAGCTCGTCCAAAAGAACATATAAAAAGAAAACTTTTCGCGCAAACCCGAAGTCAATATCTCAAACCGTCCCAAAATGGCGGCCGGTTAAAGTTCAAAAAGGCCGAAAATTGCCACCCCGTTTTTTGATGATGGATTTCCTGAAACTATGTAACTTAAGGGTATTTTGGCATAAGTTTAACACATTTGAACTTAGATCTCAAAAAAAAAAAAAAAAAAAAAAAAAAAAAAAAAAAAAATCGGTCATTTTGAACTATAACCGGCGGCCATTTTCGAAATTTCGGTTTTTTTTTTCAAATCTAACGTCTAATTCGTTCTTCTCGTGTCAAAATACTTTAAGATACAGATTTTCGCGCAAATCCATCGACATGTGACCGGTGTGAATTTTCGACCTTTTTGAACTTCAACCTACGCCTTTTTGAACTTAAACTGGCCGCCATTTTGAAACGGTTTGAGATATTGACTACGGGTTTGCGAGAAAAGTTTTCTTCTTTATGTTCTTTTGAACGAACTATCACAAAAGGGGTCTTCCTATTTGAAAAAAAAAGTTGGGGTCCGTTGCCCCCCAAGGGAGCCTCCCTGAAAATTTTAGGGGGGCCAAAAAGTAGCTACCGTTGACTTAGGAGCGTCCCCCAAGTTTCAAATCTTTACCTCAGTTAGATAAAAAGTTAGAGGGGGTAGAAAAGACTTTTGGATCACCCTGTGTAAGAGTCGCTTTCACAGCGCTCTCTGCCGCTCTGCGGCGTCTAGCCTCGTAGGCTTATGAGTCGAGCTTATAGGCTTGGTTTATAAGATTACAGGTCAAAATACGGAGTACTAAGACCCAATAAAAAAGGCAGGTTGCAATAAATTGCGATTACATAGTAAGATATTGATATGTAATATCGGAATATGATGTTATCTGTACTCTGTCTGTACTTTAATTGAAGATGCTTCTTTCTTTGGAATTCATTGCAATTAAATTGAAATAAGGTGCAATTCGTTTTGAATTATCCTGCCTTTTTTACATATTAAACTCAGTTTGTGGTTGTTTAAAATCCGAATTTATCGACCTAATAAATATGGCATGGCAAAAAAATTGAGCTTTTATTTGATTAAATCGCAAAATGATTTTTAAAATTCCGCCTTACTGCGCTTTTTAGAGAAAATAATATTGTTTCATCATTTTATCCGCCATGATCAGAACACAAAATTGGCGGATCTTTTTTCAAGTTCACTCCATTTGTTTAACAGAAGGACTATAAACCGCCAGCAACTTAAAATTTTTATTAAGTCACATAAATACCAGAGCATCTTAGATGTTTAGCGAACGTTTCGGAACAAAAACTCCCAAAATTTTCAAACTGGGCGAAATTGGTTTCAAGTCAATAGGTTTACTGTATAACGCCTACTTTTTTCTTGGTCTCCGCGTTAATTTACTCCATCTTAAATGAAGGCTACAAATTGTCTACCTATGTATGATGGGTCTCCTTGCTTCTAAAGCCTACAAAAAAGTGTTGTGGCCTACATGAAGATTACAACCATGGACCAAGAGAATAAATAAGGCGACCCTCAAATCCAGTTAGCGGCGACACCAGATGTGCCTGGGCAGAGGGTCTAGTGAACTAAACCGACGACTGCGGGTTCTCCTGGTGCATTATGTTTCCATGCACCGCTAATTTAGGCTTATCATTCAGAGCTCATGGAAGTTTCTAGATCCTCGTGAACGTTTTGAAGTTCTGAAGAGTTTAGTGTGAAAAGTTTCCTATTTTTAATTAAAGCTTAATAAAGTCTTTGGGTTACCGAGTATAAAAGTTACAGATGGACCTTGGTAAAAACACCAAGATTTTCTTATCGACTGTGTTAGAATTACCGAGATAAAACGGTAAAGTTACCGGGAATTGATTACCAATAAAAGTGGTATTCTTATCTGATAAAATCAGTAAATGTACCGGTTTTTAGGTAAGCTTACCAGTCTGTCTTGGTAACATTACCAATAATTGGTAAAAAAAGTGAGATGGTAAAGTTACCAACGGACCTTGGTAAAAACGCCGAGAATTTTTTTTCAGTGTACTATTTCATTAGGTAGTTTACTAAACTAAAATGTATTAAATTATCTAATCAAATAAATCATGAAATTTACAACGGAAATTGCATGGAATACTAACCTACCATAGAATAGGTATATGATCGTGGAAAGCTGTGGCGTTAGTTCACCGCACCCTCTGCCAAGTTCGCTACAGTCGCGTGGTAACGGTTTTTAATACAGGTTTAAATTGGGAGTTGGGGTGGGGGGGGGGTCA